ATTCCTGCTATTCATTTGCTAGCAGAGTTTTGTCCTGTATCACTTACCCAGACAATCCCCAGGCACAGTTCAGATCCTGTACACCAGGATCTATTTTAAACAAGCAGTTTGGCTGCAGTCATTTTACATTTTAGAGGAAGAAGCTTTAAACAGAGACAGAGTTGGACTGAGCTGTATCACTTGAGAGGTAGAGATGGACCCTGATGTGCTGATGAGAAATTTTAGTAATTTTTAGTATCTTGGTGAACAATCACCTTATAATTTCAGGGTTTTTAACTCACTCTTATAGACAAATTGATCTTGTATTGACATCCTGTTTATTAGAAGCTTGCCAGAATAGTCAAGTATCTTTCAGCATGCTAATGTTTGCCTGAAAAGCATGCACATCTTCATGCCATTTCTCTTGACCATGCACTATTTTAATTGCAACACCCCAAAATACCTTCCATTTTCAAAGTACAAAACAGATTTGACTTCTCTATTTTTTTTCTTCTTTTTAAGCTCCTTGTTGCCCTAATGACCTCATACTAACTCAAGTGACAGAGTCTGTAACAAATATCAGCTGGTCTATTGGGATGGGTGCACAGACATATGTAACAACACTGGAGTCTCCAAAAGGACAGGCAAAGTGTCACACTCTTCAAAACCACTGTCTCCTGGGATGCATTACATGTGGCACCAACTATACAGTATCTCTGAAAGCAATCAGTGAAACGGGTTTGACATCCACTTGCACATATCAAGGATATTCTTCCAGTATGTAAATTGTAAATGCCACTGGGAAGACTCAGTATACAACTTACTTTGTATAGTGTTCCTCTCATACAAATAAGTGCTGCTGAAATTCAATACACAGTTAACGCACTTGCAGTTTTCTCTTTTAAGTAAATGCACTTTGGATTATTTTCACATATCATTTAAGCCCTGCTCTTAAAATGGCCATTGGGTGGCCATATAAAGAAGTTCTGATAATATCGCTCCGCTCCAGAACCAATTACTTAATTTTAATTATGCTATAGCATAATTAAATTTTAGAGACCACAAAAGAATTCTGGGCATTCTAGGGTAGCCCAAGTGCCTCCAGAGTCAGGAGAGAGCAACAATATTCAAGTGTGTAAAACAATGGCTGAATTTCAGCTTCACAGTAAGAGTCTGATAAAACATTTTCTTCCCTAGTTCAGCTCAAGAATTATTTTGGCTTTCTGTGAAATAATAATTTCTCATTGAAATGCTAGTATCTAGTGTGATAGTAATCATATAATCTGGTTTAAAATACACTGTAGAAATTTACAATGCATTCTGGCTTCACAAAATTTGCTTATTGACATTTATTATTTTATTAGGTGCTTGCTGCCCTTCTGGGGTGAAGCTATACAGACTCCGCAATAATGGTATCAGGGTATACTGGCAAGCTTCTGAAGAAGCAATAAACTACAATACTAATTTACATGGCTCAAAAGGCAATTTCACCTGTACCCCTAGATCGGGTCTAAGTCACTGCGATATCACTGAGATACCTTGTGGGGACATCTACACAGTGGTAGTATCTCCAGCTACTGATAAGGGGCAGAAGCTTACATTTTGTCCTAAAAAAATATATTCAGGTAAAACTTAAATGTCTCTGATTTACGTTTGTCCATGCATGTTAGACAGTTGACATGGAATCTGAAGCTATGCAAGTAAGGGAGGCATGGAATAGAACTTGCCTACTCTAATGTTGACTCCAGAGTAAACTTTATGGGTGCTGTCTTGCGATACCTGTGACAGGAACTTCACGAGAGCATTTTGGGACTGGGCATACTTACCTACACAGGTGGCTCTTAACTGCATCACTCAGAACCTGGTGAATACAAAGAACTTAATTTTCGGTTGGGAGATTAGTAGTGGTTAGAATACAGCAGCACATAAATGAGGATATTTAATTTTTTTTTTCTAATTTGTTTCATAGAATTAGTTTTTTAATGAGAAACAAATGTACTTCTATGAACGACTTCTAAGCACATTTTTAAATAAAAATTGTTTAAAGGGGTAATAATTTCCTTGGGATTTCTTTGCCAGGGCATAAATGTAATCCATTATAAAATTGCTGCCATCTGATAGGATTGCACAGCTGTATAGTATGGACTACATTTTAGACACTACTAATGTTTTCTGGCTTACAACCTGACACTTAACATTTATACTGCTGTTTCATGTCATTTCAGTAACCTGTTCTGGAAGCTCTGTAGGGATGGGTAAGAGCTCACAGCACATTCATTCCAAATCCATGATGTCTGTAAAACATGTTAGCATTATGTAACTCCAAATAAGACAATAACACATGTATTTGATAGTCAAGGCTTGTGTTAGTGTTATGCAGGTTTGTCTCACCTCCCCATCTTATAATGTATAATACTGTGACCTGTACACTGTCATGCATTCCAGTCACAATATTTACTATTTATCTGATAGCACATAATAAAAGGCAGGCGTATCTGCCTAGCCATATCCCATTACAGTTTAAACTATGTTGCACTTCTGATTTTTATTTTTTTAAAAAGTGTGGCTTACCTCAAACTATTCTACCTTATTTTTTCTGGAGTTTCAACAGGATAGTCTTGTGTTTTATTTGCCTATGTAAACAAAAAGCAGCCACTAAAACAAACTTTTATCAAGACAGGTGCTTTTCAATAACTGAAATTGTCCTCATTTTTGAATTGTGTTATAGTGATTTATAGAGGAAAGAGCAATGCTGAACAACGTATCTAGATGAAAATTCTGGATCAGATAAAGAGGTAAGTTGTAAGAGTCATATTTCAGATCAGGATGTATTAATCAAACTTTTCCTGCTGCTTAAATCTTTGGGATTGGAGGGATAATCTTCACCAATTCTGTCTATCTTAAATAGAACTAGTTTGTTAAAATCCATCATATTTACCTCAGATACCTCATGTTGTCCTATCATCACTACTGATTTGTCCTCTCCTCCATTTACAATAAAACCCTCTTTCACCTTCATTAAGCCTTTTCTAATACTATCTTATAGTTCCCCAGAAAAGCTCTCAAAATCCAAACAGATCAAGATACTATTGAGCACTCATTTACTTTCTCTCTCTGCTAGCTGAAATTGCTCATTCTCCAACAAAAGTAAAAGTGCTGTGGACTATTTACTACCCTTGTCTCAAAAGGATGTCAAGAAGTCATGTGTCGCACCCAAGGCTGATCATCTCCTCTTTGCTGCTGTTCTTCTATAGCTATCCTGGATGCTCAGGTTGTTGGTAACACTGTTCTCTCTAAATGCTCTTCTCAGTCTCTTCAATTGATGCTGGAAAGATGACATCTGTGCTTAACTGCAACAGTCACAGCTGCTTGAGAACTGGGAAAAGGGAAGCTGAACAGCTTGCCATATCTGAGATCTAATCCGGGATATCAAATTTGAATCCCAACTGATGAGATAATTTTTAAAATGCAGATGAACACTAATAGAGATCTCCATAATAGTGAGCTGCAATTTCCCTGTAAAGCCATCAGTTTTAAAAGCTCTTCCCAGGCAGTTATTAATCAGTAGGTGTGTTCTTCACCTAGCAGTTTAGGGGCACTCAGTTAAAAGTAGCTTGAAGTTTAAATTAAAATTAAATAGCCTTAGAATACTTGATTAAGCTTCAAACAAAGCTTCTTCCTTTACAATTCTGAGACATGAGTCATGAGGGTAAACAATGTCTTCTTCAAATCAACTAACATGTCTTGCTTTGTAGCTAATGAAGAACTGGCAGATATTACTAAAATTTTAATTTCCCATTTTTCAGAAAAGGCAGAACCTTTTCTCATCCTCCACAGTGGCTACCTCCTCAGCCAACACAGAAAGCAAAGTTCATGGTCAAGGTTTCTCCATACACATAAGACACCTTACAAAAACAGTCTTTAGAAGCTTATGTATCAACGTTACCAAAGACAACAGGGTTTTTAACACTATTTTCAGCTTATAATAATAGACACCATGCACACTCAGTTTCCTTTCTTCACAGAACACAGTTGTATTGGGTATCTCAGTCACTGTTTCTGATCACTTGCACAAAATAATCTCATGGGAATCTCTTAAATAGATTGACTGTAGATGTCCTAAGGATTACACATGGCTTCTTAGAAAATAATCTGCATTTCTTCACTGTCAAACAAGTCTTTCGGAAGCATTGTTTAAAACTGCCCTGCATTACTTAATAAAAAGTTGAGGTTTATTCTCATCGGATTTGAGAAAAAAAGTAAAAGTAAGTATTGTTCACAACCTTCCTCCTCAAGAGTTTTATTTAAATATTTTTTCTTTGCAGTCATCATTGTCAAACGCTGTCCCCAAACCTAAGTGTTTAACCAAGTGTCTATTAACTGGGTTTTCAGAGGTCTAAAGCAGTAAGTTTCCTTTAGAGTCAAACTTAGGACACAACTTTCTTATTTTCACGTAAACATTCTGATATTTCCATACTCTAACAGTAACTCTAATGTATTTTAAGCAGTTATAAACTGTTGGTGTATTTTTTCTCCGTTCTTCGTGGCATACAGATGTTGACATCTCAAAATTACATACAACCCTGACAATGCTGTAGTACTATTTTAATCAGCTCCTCTTATTTTCAATAATGAAATAATTGTAAGAGAACATATTGTTTGCATGTCTATTAAAAAAAAACAAACACTGAAGAGGAGTCAAGATTCCAAGAAAAAACACTGATTCAACTAAAAAAAAGTAGTTATAAGATGCAGACAATTTATCAAAACAGGGAGGAAACACAACCACCAAATTGAGCCAGATCCACACCACCTGCTCTGGTGGTGTATATGTTGCAGGTGGTGTTACTCAGGCATTAGACATTGTCTAATAATAAACAACAACTGATATATGTAACATTACTGGCACTCACCAAGATGATGAAAAAACATTAGTCAGAATTAGATTCAGGTTGTCTCCAGATTGAGGCAGATGCTTTTTTATGGGTCTCACTGACTAAAGATCACAGAAAAGGACAATTACATACCGCTTTCATAGACGTAGTTTCCATACTATCTACTAGTATGAAGCTATGGTCTTCTTGAAGCAAGAAAAGCAAGCCACCAAAAAACCCCAATACAACCCCCCAAAACAACAAAAGCCTCACACAACCCAACCCCACAAACCTCTTAAGAGAAACCTGAGAATCAAGAAAATTCCTGTTGAAGACCCAGAAATACGCAGCATATTGGTATGCAAAGTAAAATGAATGCTTTTAGAACAGTATCTGTGAAATCACTGATACTAACAAGTTAGGTGATTAAAAACATCTAGGTTATTTCATTAGAGATGTCTTCCTTAATGCTTACTTAATAATTCAATTAAGTGAATAATTTTAAAGATGTGTTAGTTGCAATTACATAAACACTTGCAAAAAAATTGTATATATTGACTGTTCCAAAAATCAAATTATTTGTATTTGACACAGAAGTGTAATAGCTCAAAACTTAGGCTGTTTTCAGTCCAGTAAAGAAACTGGCAAAACCTTTATCCTTCAGCTGGTTTCAGATTTGACCCAAAAGTGCTCAGATTTAAGAAATGTTCTCCCACATCCACCTATTGTTGTGGAAGGGGGGGGTCGGGGGGGGAAGACAGCTATATTGCAAAACCTCAGAAGTGGCATTTAAATGCTGCTTTACCCTGCTTAACAGCTGGTGAGTATCACCTCTATGTTTTGTGTGCACTTCATAGCAGCGCAGAAAGGGCTCGAACATCTACCAAAGCCAGTAGAAGTCATCTAATTCTTTCAGGTTCCCCTTAAGAGATCCTGGCTATTTGTGTACTGTCTTTGGGTCTGTACAGTAATATTCAGCTGTAAATACTCAAAGCATCAACTCTTTTATGTTTCTTCAACGTATAAATTGAAAGTATACAAAAAGATGGGTATGCGGGGTGTAGCAAGCACCCCGTGATCTGATAAACTGCCCTGACATTCAGGTTACCTTTTTCAATAGATTATCAATACCACCCCTATTATAAGTCGGATACATACAGGTCCTTTTATACTGATGCCAATTACTGTCATAGTTGTGGCAGTAGGTAGATGTGAATCTCTAGGCCCAAAGCCTTGACCCTGCCTCAAAATAAAAAAATGCCAGTTTGCTACTTAAGATCTGAAATACGGTTCAACTAACTGAGTAGTATCTTCAGAAGAAAAAAACAAAAGTAAAACCAAAATAGAGGTTTATTTCTCAAATTAGTATTTAGTCCAGTGAAGTACTTGTTGGGAGCCACAGGAAATTTCAAAGACAGATTAGGCTTCAAGAGGAATGACTATCCCTGCTAGGTAACTACGGACACATGGCTTACTGTGGAAAGTTCAGGTTCACAGTGCTCGATTTGTTGCGCTTTTACCTCAAAAACTCAAGAGTAACTGCACAGGCTCTGCAACTGTACCTCCTGGGAAAACACTCACACCACCTGATTAAAATAGGCAGAAATTTTCTTCTAATGCCCCTGAGCCAAATGCCCACTACAGCTGCACTGCTAGCAACTGCATCAGGCCAGTCAGCACTGGATACTCCTCTGATCTTACCATTTCTCATCACAGCTGCTTGTGGAACTTCTGTGGATCTGCTCCTTCTGGTTTCAAGGAAGGTCACATGAAATAAAATGGCAACAGGCACACAAAAAGGAATTCAACTCTCCCTGGATCCAAACCCAAGAGCTGCAAGATACTAAATCCCAATGATAACTTAAGCCAGGTATCTGTTTAAATAGTTTTCATGGCTCTCGGTCAGTCATGAGTATTGTGCCATTCATCATACTGCCAGCTCAAGCACATAATACGGATCAAATTAAATCAAAGTCAGAAAGGACTACTTATTGAAAAATAAAAGCCAAGTCCTCAAATTACTGCACTTGCAAGAGCTACTGGCACAGGCAGGTTTGCACAAGCTGTACCAAATGTTCACTATCTCCATTGGATTAAGTCAGCTCTCTCCACTTCCACATCCAAGACCGTTTCTCAAATATCTGGATTTTGCCTGCAAATAAACCATTCTTTCACTGTACTTCCAAGTAATGGCAGTGGAGGAGGGGCCTTGAGGGAACAAGTATAAATCAGGAATCCATTTTCCCCTAGCAGAACACTGGCCTTGCCACCTCTCTGTGCAAGAGCGTTCTTGCTTCAGAAACACAGAGGCTGAAGGTTTAAAACTAATGAGGCTAAAAGAAGCCTTCTAGTGACAAATAAGGTAAAGTTGTCATCAATGTTTTGACAGAACCCATGCAATCTCTTGGCAGTCTGCAAAGGCAGTTCTAATAATCTAGTAGCCAGGGTATTTCTTAAATGGCCAATACAGGTTTCTTCCTCCCATATTAAATGAGAGCTCAATATTTTAGATTTACACTGCAATGAAATGAACTTGTTTAAACTTAAGCTTTGTTTCAAGATCAGATTTAAAATCAGATAACAAAAATGTAAGGAGGCAATATCCGATCTACCTCAGTATTAAAAGATTTTGAATACCAAGGATAAAGGAAAGACAGACAATTCAGAAAACAGTAAGAGCTGAGAGGAAGAAAAAACCGAGTTTGTTATTCTTGCTTCTCTGAATACTATGGAATGAAGTGTATTGTTAGAAATTCAAGCAGTTTTCTCCTGGAGGTTTAAATAAATAATCCCAATACTTAAAATATAATACCTAGATGACCTGCATTACACAGAAGCAAAAAAGGCACAACTACCGACTTCTTTCTACCTTCAGATCGCTTCATGGTCATCAATGAGTCACACTGAATGTTCTTCCTGGTTTTGGGCCGCTGTATCTCTTTGTCAGCTACATCTTCCCTATAAGGTACCTACTACATAAAATGCCTTACTCATACAAAGTGTCACTTAGTCTGAAAGTGAAACATGAAGGAACTCAAACACTCTTCAACCAGCAATGAACATGCAGGGAAAAGCTGACACCCAATACGAAGGAATTAATTGAGAGTTTATTCCAGATGGTTCTCCTCACTCAGTATACAAGTCATCAGAATAATCTATCAAATAGACTTGGACTTCAATATGATTTTTTTTCTATAATGCATTTTGGTTTTTGCTTCTAACAACCTGTTTAAAAAATCAAAACAAAACAAAAAACAAAAAACAAAACTGCCAGGTGAAACATTCAGCACAAACTGCAATCCTTACTATCTGTAGAAAATATGACTTAAAAAAGGACACTATCAGGTAATTCTTATTTTAAATGTTTACACTTATAAAAATGCTTTGGAAGCTTGAAACGGAAATATTTTGTAATAATTTTCTTCTTCCTACCTCCCTCTTTCCATCTTAAACACCTTTATTAGCCCAGGATTATGACAAATGACAGAGTGCAGCTGCTGATGAAAAACATTTAAAGACCACAAATGGATAAACTGTGTTTTTTAAAAAATGGAAGCTTAGGTGGATTATTTAAAAAAAAAAACAAACAACAAATAAAATGCATAGATGGCTACGGTACTCATCCGTCAACCTTTACAGTGTCCGCTTGAGGTAGCCTTTCTAAAGAATTACTAAACAAGCCCCATCTTAATCTAATCTTTGCATCAAAACCTCTATCTCCTTGAAAGCCCACTCTCAATTTAACACCAGTGGTGATCAACAACATAATAAATTTTCAAAGCTTTTGAAAAAACAGCAGGTACAGTGGACATAAATGTTAGTTCTAAATCTGCAGCCCTCAATGTACATTGTATGCACATAAATATCTCAGCTATAATACACATTCAAGATCCATCCCTAAAAGCCATACTATTATGTAAAGCACTGTCATGCTAACTTCAGGATACAAACCATAATTCCACATCTACGAAATGAAAGTAGAATTAGTGGCAGTTTATTGCCTCATACAAATTTTACCAACATGGCAACCATGCCAAAGAAATTAAAACATTTTCAGGACATATGTACAGACTGTACATTTCAGAAACATCTGAACAATAAAAATGCAAGAACAATCTCTTCATAACAAATTAAAACTAAATAAATGGTTTGAAACTGTCAATGTATTGAATGGGTTTACAAAGGCACTTCCCTACCCAAAATAGGAAATGACAATCTGCAGCCTAGAGGGAGGTTGGAGAAGAGTGCTCATCAACTACTGCACAATCTCAACTTTAAGAAAAAATAAGCAGGATTTAATCAAACATTTATAGGATTCAATGTGATCCACTTCTGAAAGAGTTCACACAGTCTCATCTTTGTTTTTATGTTGCTTTTCTTGGCTCTCTCGTTCTGTACTTTGGCTCCTTCGACGATCATGTTTGTCCGAATGGTCCTTGCTATCACTGTGATCATGTTTGTGGGAACGTTCTTTGCTTCTGCTACGCTTTCTAGATTTTTCTTTGCTGGGACTCTGGTCTCGTTTCCTGGACTTCTCAACACTCTCTGTTCTTCCCCTGCTTCTGCTTCTACTTCGTTTATTTGACTTCTCTTTAGTCTCATTTTTATGTTTACTTGATTTCTCTTTGCTCCTGCTTCTGCTGCGCTTACCTGTATTCTTACTTCGGCTCCTACTCCTATGCTTTCTTTCCCGGCTTCGACTTCTACTATGTTTTCTCTCTTTTTTGGAATCCCTCTTGTCATCCCTGTGTTTCTTGTCGTCCTTGTCATCCTTGTGTCTTCTCTCTTCTGTATCACCCTTACTTTTCCTTTCTTTTGATCTTTCTCGAGATCGATCTTTTTCCCTTTCACTACCTCTTTCCTTATCGTAATCCCTCTCTTTTTTCCGGCTCCGTTCATTTTCTTTCTCTCGCTCCCTATCCCTGTCTCTTCTATCTCCTTTCCTGTCACGACTTCGACTACGGCTTCTGTATCTGTCTCTGCTTCTGCTTCGCCTTCGTTCTAGTGTGCGATCAGTACTTCGAGATCTCCGCCTTTCTTTTTCTCTCTCCTTAGCTTCACGTTCTAATCTCTGCCTTTCTCTTTCTCTTTCTAGTTCTCTATCAAAACTAGATGATCCATGGCCTTCCCGATGATGACTTCTGCTTCTTGATCTTCTGGGAGACCTTCTGGGACTGATGGATCGCCTTGGAGACCTTTAAAAAAATAAAAAAGATATTCAATATGAAACACAACCTTTTAAAGCCAAGGGACCCTCTTTATTTTTCAATTTATACTTTACACACAGTCTACATTTAATCTTAAGTATCAAATATTATCTGATTATTTTAATCCATTAGCATCCATAAACTGTTTTTGCCTGTTACCTTAAAACCTATCTCAGTGAAAAGACGATACATTTCTGGTAGTAAGTACTTCCATATTGAACTTTTTAACATTCATTTTCAAAATAATGCATATATGACCTTGAACGTCTACGTTCTGCATGACGGTCTATTTCTTCCATTCCCTCCTTGCCATCCTTCTTGATTTTTCTAGGTCTGCTTTTAATTTGCTGGTCAATGGTTTTCTGGACTGGCACAGGAATTCTTGGAAACAAGGTGGAAAACCATTCAAGCTTAGTGAGGAAGGAACGAAGCATCTCCCCGATGGTCATGACACAACCCCCACCTGCCTTCACATCCAGATCCTACAAAATACAAGCAAAAAATAGCCTGATGGTCAAAAGTATTCTTTACCGATTTAAAAAAAAAATGCTGCTACATTACTGCCCTCTTGAAGTCTCATGATTATGAAAGTTTACTTGTCTTACATTCTAATACATTTCCTTAGAAAAATTCAAACTCTGCACCCTTTGGATTTGGCACTATGTTACAGATAGGGAATGGGACTTAATATATATGCATGCAGGCACATACTAATCCTGCAGCCATCTGGATGGTAAGGGACTGTCAATGAAGAGATTAACGCAAAATCCCCTTACGCAGTCTGGCTATATGGTACGATCTTCTATTTTATATAAATGCCACAAAGTTGAAGTCCTCTCAGACTACATTTAATACTCCATTTTGTGGATGAACAACTGTGTACCATCATACCCAACCCTATGGCCTAAATCATATAAGAACTACATCATTGCCTATCTAAAAATGATCACAGAAAATCCTCTAGTACAAAATGGCATCCTAACAGAATTGGAAGCAATAGCAAACCAACTGCCATGAAGCAGTGAGGTTTCTAATTTAGAAATATGTAAAAAAATAAATAAATGAACAAATAATTGGAAACGCATAATCCATGATGACCATTGTCTCTGAAAAGGGTCATTACCGCATGAAGGCCTTCTTGCTATGCCCTCTCACAGCTCAGGACATGTTAGTCAGCTATTGTCAGTCCCAAACCTATAGTGCAAGCACACAAGGAAAGTGAGATTTGTTATCTAAACAGGAAGAGAAAATCTAAATGTAAAACTGCTTGCACTCACACACATTTAAGTGTTCAGATATACAGTTTTTTCCAAATATAATCGCTGCAGAGATCTAAAGAAGAAAAAAAGGAGTTAAACGTAGCACCTGGAGAGTACGTACAGTTAAACAAAATAAACAAGAAGCATTTTGAAAAGTAATTCTATATCCTGGGAAGTTTTTCCACAGCAGCATGACAAAAGATGAACTGCTTCCACATTTAAGAACTGGAAAAAAAAAAAGTCCTGTAGGTTCAAATAATTCCATATATATAAATTTGCTTCATTTTATTGAGTTTGACCAGGACTGGTAAGAAACTTAAAACAAGCAGCCCCAAGCACTTTCTCCTACATAACACAAAGCTACTGAAAGCAGCTGGGAAAGAAACACCGCTTCCAAAAATATATTGGGAGATTTTAAACAACTACAAACAAACGCATGCTGAGAACCAGTATCTGCAAAACTGAAATGTATAAACTAAAAAAGGTGCTCTGAATAATGAAGCAATTAAGACCTGCACAATGAATTGCGCTACTGATCACTTTATTGTCCTGGGAATCAAGTTGCTTGTGGGACCCTGAAAACGAAGCCACCCCAATCCTCCTCACACATTACAATGCAACATTGCAGAGAGGCATTGACATTAACTAGCACCACCTGGGGGAGAAGGACGATATCACAGCAATGTAAACGATTTAAATTTGTTTGGATTTTTGTTACAAACATACAATAACACAGGTTTACCTGAAATAACAGCTGTTTCCTTTGCACAGTGTTTTTGATACTTAGCATGAAAGAAGCTGTTTAAAATAAATACACTGCATTGCAGTCAGATACAGGTATAATTAACACCGGTTTTAATACAAGTATTTGGACATCATTTGCAACTACAACATTTGAAATTTCTTGAAGTAGATGCCTACTGTCACACTGAAGAGGGCAAGTGATCCTTCCTGTTCCATTCTTAAATCTAGGATGTAATTTAAAAACTGCTCAATACAAATTGTAACAGTATGCAGCAGACTGTATATTCAACTTGATAGACTGAGAAATCTTACCCACCAGAGCTCCTACTCGGTTTCTCCAGACAGTAAATTAGGACTATGGTACCACAGGTATTCTCCTATCTGACTGCATAATAAGGCAGCCTCTTTACTGAGCTTCTCCAGTTAGCAACTCATTCTTTTTTTGCCCTGTTAGCATAGACATTAAGGTTACTAGAAACAATTAGGCTGTTTTTTCCTCCTCAGAAATCTTGGGTTTAGTTACTCCAGGACATGCAGAATATCAAGAGATTTTTGGTAATAATCTTCAAAGTTAGTGTTGGTTTCTACTACATACTTCCTACTCTTCTGTGTAAGCACCAATTACTGTCCCAGTAACAAACGCAAAGCACAAATTCACCATTTTCAGCACTTACTATATATCTTGCTTAAAAATAGTTCTTTCTAAAAACCACACAGAAGCCGCACTTACAGCCTGCTGTCTGCATTCTGATTTAACAAACCTATTTCATATAGCTTTAATTTTGACATAGTAACATCCTAACCAATGGAAAAGACTGTTAACTCTTTGAAATCTAAGAAAAAAGACCCAGGTCCTGCTTTAGACCTGCTTCCTGTAATTAAGGAAATTACAAGAACCTAACATTGCAACATTCAAACTACAGAAAACTTTATCAAACAGTATTTAAACCTAAAGTAGTAACACGAAAAGAAACAAAAGAAAACAAATTATTACCCTCGCCGACATACCTCTTCATCATCAAGAAAGGATTCAAACCAGTCCCATAGATCTGTAGGTGGTTGTGTGTACCTTTAAGTACAAAGAGAATGTAAAATTTTAATACAGCTTTCTGTATATTAAATTAGTCATTAGTTGATTATATCAATACTTACCTAATATACATAAATCCAAGAGCCCTAATATATGGAGAGTCTGTATGAGTTATAAGGCCCATCACTTGTTTACGAGTGAGCTTCAGTGTAAATAATTTGTAGAGCAGACAGAAAGCAGTAGACACAATTCCTCCAGTTCCAACACCACGCACCTTTCAGAAGAAAAATAAAGAGTTAGGTGACAATGCAGCAAGTCAAAGACATTATCTCAAATCTGCAAAAGAATATAAGAACTAACACAGGATAAAAATCTAAGCCTACAAACAGCTATACGGAAAGAGTCACACCACTCAAATCCACTGCTCTGGAAGCAAGGGGCATATATCAACTCTTTATAAGAAATACTTCTACGTCTATGGACTGAGCCAACATACAAGCAAGTTTTAGCTATGCTCGGGTAATTTATTTACCAGACAGAAAAATTTAAGAAGGCACGTACTTCTACTTACCCCTCCACACATCCCGGTCTGGCCTGCTGTTTTTCTGCTCCCCTTTTCCCATGGTTCAACATGTGTAACCTGAAAGGCCAGGGGGAGGAAAGAAAGCAAGAAGTTACAACTACAACCTCCATAATGTTTAACTGCCTATACAAGCCTAATTTAAACAATGGGTATCCTAAATAAATTCTGAATAGCTTGTCTTCTCCTACCAAATTCAAGATCAAGCCTGTTTTGTCATTAAAATTGGCCTTTTAAATTATATTAAGCAATTATAGCCAAAATCATGAAGCTAAAAAAAAACACAAAACAAAAAACCCGAACAAAAAAACCCAAAGCAAGCACCTATGCTTACTCTACACTCCACATACTTTAATACTTTATGATTAAACCCCACGATTACTATTTTCTATGGTGACTAAACAATAACCTTTATTTAAACTGTCTCTTAACAAGTTTAGTGATACCTGCTGATGAGAGCTACAGAAATCAAAATTCAGTCTCACATTCATAAATCTAATTTATGTAGTGTGCTTGGCTGGAGATTTGAGTATCATCTACAATGAGGACAAAATAAAGATGTATATAAAGTGTACTATTTTAATCTTAAAAGTGTTTTTTTCTTGTAGACTGCAGGGATGTTCTTAGATAAAATGGTTCCTAAGTACTGATGACTAAAGCTTGCCCAATTCAAATATTCTGAGATGCATTTAGAGATGAGCGCACAAATACAGTTAACCATAAATAACCAACCTTAAATTTGACAAGAGTCATAAACAAGTTAAGAACCATAAAACTTCCTAAGCTACATTTGAAACTGGAATTCAAAGTAATGTCTGACGCAATAAACAAATCTATTTCCTACACAAGTCAACTTAAAGAAATAAGTAAAAGCAAGAAAAAAGACACAATGATGTTACACTGGATTGGGGATAAGAGTTTGTGGCCAAGTTACACTGCAGTTCACAAGTTAAAATTCTTTAGCAATACATAAACCAAAACTAGTTACGTACAGTCACATGAAATCAGAGATACGCTAACAGCTCAAGTTGCTGAACTCTTTCAGGGTTTTTTGTTTGGGGTTTTTTTTTTTCCAGTTGCCGTCTTATCCAAATAGGAAAGGAGATGCCAATACCATAGAACACAAAATTCACTATGCCTTCCTGTGTTATTAGCATCATCTGAGGAGTTAACAAATACTACATAAATAAGACTGCACATCCTGCTAATTATTTACAGTTTTGCCCAGGAAATGAAAAGTACTTTTTAGTCAAAGGATTGAGTATGACATTGTCACAATGGTAATCCTAAATGTTTTATATTGACTGTAGCTGGTAAATGTAATTTAAACATTACGGTTTTGACAGATATCAATTAAAAGAAACAAAGCCCTGAACACAGTAATTTCAGAAAGAGTATTTAAAGTTTTGATCCTACAAAGACGGCTGCACAGGCTTAACTTGCTGGAAGTATACACACTAAATGCAACTGAGGACATGCACATGATGCTACAATCAGGGAAAAAGAAAGAGGAAGTCACCTACTTTGCAGATACAGAACTGAGACCAGAACTACAACTGAATTAATTCAAATACCTAGAAAGAATCCCTATCTTCAGAGATGGTCCCTATCACCAGCTGTCCATGTGACTCGAGATCATCCTTTCAGATAATCCAGCACCCAGCACTCTTAAGCTTGTTTAATTAGTCACTTCTTTTGGTTCTCAAAAAAAGATAAATACACTCAAAAATACACCTGCTATGGTGGATATTGTGCTCATCAAAATAAAGTAAAAAAAATAAAAATTAAAAGCAAGCAGTTTCTTGGGAATCTTACAGAATTCAAATCTCCTGAATATCAATGAAGTGTCTTAACCATCAGGTTATCTTCTCTGTCACATATTTTACTCTTAAGTAAGGGGCTGAGTTTTCTCTTAGCATGCAGTTTTGAGACAGAGTAACTGTCAAGTACAGTAAACAAACTTGATTTACAAAGGATTAACAAGCACATATTTAATGGTATAAAAAATTCTTGCCCGATTTAAAAAAAAAAAATAAATAAGCCAGTTATAGGATGAAACACTGAGACAAGCAAATGCCTATGACACACCACAGCTGAGCTCTACCAATACTAAGACAACAAATCACATAAAATATTTTTCACTACATCTGAAAGGGTCCACATAAAATACCATAAGCTCTCCAATTTTCTGCAAATATGTTGCTGTTATAAATTTTTTAACTCTTGCTATCACTTGCAAAAATAAGCTTTGCTGCTTTCTATTCTGATGGTCAGAAGTAATTGTTTCTCTCTCATACACAGCAAGTGGTAAATTAAGGGAAGCTCTGCCGACAATCTATGTTACTCTATTACGAGAGTTAAATAGTCTGCTCCAAATGACAGAGCGCAAGCAGAGAAGTGCTGTCATTAAGAGAAAAAAACAGTAGCACTGAGTTCATAAGTGCATGCAAACACCACCAAAAATCTCAAAATACTTCCATGGAGTTATTTTTCACAATTAAAGTACTCTAAGTAACTTGACTTGCCCTGGTTACATCACACAAAGAGCCTACATTTTTATTTTTATTTCAAAGTACATCGATAATTTTACCAGTATGGTATGAGCCAGTATAGTAAAATTATCAAGCAGAATCACTTCGCCTAAGAAAAATACCTCAGCAACCACCAACTTACAGATGCCTGAAGACAGCAGCCTGTATTATCTAAGTTTTGCTCTCATTATCAGAACAAAGAATGTGGCTGTGTTGATGAGCATTAATTATGCATACCTCTACCTGGAAGAGTGGCTTGATGGAAGCCTCGCTGCAAAACTGAGTCAATCCTGCTAACAAAACAAGAACCAAAACATGGGCGCACTGACACAGTCCAGTTATCTCCCCAGCACATCCTACCTAACGCCAAGGGAAGCACTAAAACGAACTCGTTTTTGACTGGGCGTGGAGGGGGGGAGGGATCCTAACCTCTAACCGAGGAAGGCCCATGCAAACTCATGTTGAAACCACATACAGTCACCACCATGCCTTCTGTGCGGTTACCCGGCGTGTCCGCACCTCCGAGGCCGCAGGGAGTGCGCGTCCCCAGAAGCGGCACGCAGACAGGGTCCCCTCCCCACTCTCTCCGAGCGCGATGTCCTTAGACGGCCATTTCATCCCCACTGCCCCGGCTCACGCTACCCACTTCAAAACTAACGTACAACTCCGTAGTTCCAAATCCGACACGAAACACTTCGTTCGTAAGAAAGCGAAAGCAGCAGCTTGGATTCCCCCGATTAAGCAACAGGAAAAAAAAAAAGAAAAAAAAAAAGAAAAAAAAAGAAAAGAAAAGCGCTCCCATCTCTTACCGCAAAATAAGGGTCAGGAAAGCAAGAAAGAGAATTCGCAGGCCGCAATCAAGGCCTTCCCGCGCCCAAAAGCCCAGCTCCGGGGTTCGTTCGTAAGAAAGCGAAAGCAGCAGCTTGGATTCCCCCGATTAAGCAACAGGAAAAAAAAAAAGAAAAAAAAAAAGAAAAAAAAAGAAAAGAAAAGCGCTCCCATCTCTTACCGCAAAATAAGGGTCAGGAAAGCAAGAAAGAGAATTCGCAGGCCGCAATCAAGGCCTTCCCGCGCCCAAAAGCCCAGCTCCGGGGAGTTGGGCTCGGGGCGGCACCAGCACAGCCCCGGGG